TGGCCACCTAATGAGAAGGAAGAAGGACTCCCTGGAGAAGAGCCTCATGCTGGGAACGATGGAGGGCAAAAGGAGGTGGCTGGATGGGGCCACTGAAGCAATTGGCGTGAGCTTCAATGGACTCCAGAGGATGGTAGAAAGGCAGGAAGGCCTGGAGGAATGTTGTCCGTGGGGTCGCGATAGGTCGGACACGATTTCACAACTAACAACAACGAAGTGTGAAAAACAATCGTATGTAATTTTTTCAATGCCATTCTAACTTCAAAAAGTCACTGAGCAAATGGTTCTAAGGGCTAACCCTAGTTATATATCTCCTTCATTTTTCTGTATTCGTTATGTTTATACACCTCTGGATTTAACAAGGCCCCTAGCAGTTACTAACAACACAACCCAGAGTCCCAATGGGAGTGGGCGGCATACAAATTTCATTAAACTCGAAACATTAAACTCGAAACCGCCCCCCCCCCAAAATACGGACACATTCCCTTAAATGTAGAAAGTATATCAGTGATTAATTATTTCTCCCCCAAAGCAAAAAATGTACCTATCTCTCATAAACACAAGTGCATGGAGTCCTACTTGAACATCTGGCGCAGAGCAGGTGATGCCAAGGTCATTGGCTTTTCTGACCCGTAATTAAAATCGGAGACAAACTGATCACAGCCAAAGCCAGATAAATAGTTTCCTGACTTCAGATGTTTTCCAATATTGCTGTAAGGGGAAAGGCAGGATGGTCACGAACAAGCTATTAAGAAGAAGGATCTGTGAATTCTTAGAACATCTGCTTCTCTGTGTTAATGATTTTCTTGAAATACAAAGTACTTTCATGATGTACAATGGCCCAGAAGTGTGTCCGGTTATCTGGGAGAAAGGCTGGTGAATATTACATTCGCAGGCTTCAGCAGGGCTGGGGGAAAGGGAAAATGCCCCCCCTTTTGTGGAAAACGCCCCATTTTCCACCCGTTTTTGTGAAAAATGGGCATTTTTGCCTTCCTGCTGTCCCGCTGAAGCGTGCAGAGTGCTCCTGGGAGGTGGGGAGGACAACAACTTTTAAATTTCTTGCTTATCTCTTTGAAATCTTGGTGCATCTTATACACCAGTGCGTCTTATAGTTCAAAGAATACGGTAGTATTCTTCCAGTCAAAACCGAAGAAGCCTCTTGGATGAGAAGCGAAACATCTTCAAAGAAAAACAAGGAAGTCCAGTTGCCTCTTGAAAAAGCCCCTTTGGGACAACCACAACCTGGATGGCTGAGAATCTCTACAGCCCTTTCCTCTCTAATGATCCCTAGTTAGATTTCCCCAAAGCTTGGCCATGTGGCATCCCAGAACACATTAAAAAGGCATGGCTTTGATCGTCTCTTCCGTTAAGTCCGGTAGCACGAACGCACGATAAAAAAGCTTGCGTCCAAAATTAGGACAGGAGTTATTCTCCCAGATGTGTGGTTGTCTACAAATATTCAGTTTCACTGCCGTTTACCCAAAAACCTAAATAAATTTTAAAGAAGTGCTAATTGTCACCTTTCAACATAGGTGAAACAGCGTTGTGATCTTCCACCAGTTTTCCCAAAGAGAGTTTCAGGTTGACCGAAGATCTGAAAATATTTCTGACAGGAGCGATCGACAGCTTTCCTAAAAAAGGAAAAGAAAAAAAAAGCCAGCAGGAATTAATGATTCTTCTGTTTATCACACATAACAAGCGCTACAAAACACCCAACATTTTCTCTGTGTGAGTTTCACAGATGGAAGACAGCTGAATCCCGGGTTCTGCGGAGTCCCGATCCTGCGCCCCCCTCTTCTAAACCGGCCTAACCCGTTTCCCATTCTTTCTTCTCTCCAGAACGGTCCAACGGCTCGGTCCTGTCACAAGATGTGCATCGACATCCAGCGAAGGCAGATCTACACCTTGGGGCGTTACCTGGATTCCTCTGTGAGGAACAGCAAATCCCTGAAAAGCGACTTCTACCGCTACGACATCGACACGAACACCTGGATGTTGCTGAGCGAAGACACGGCCGCTGACGGAGGCCCCAAGCTTGTGTTCGACCATCAGGTCAGTGTCGTTCATTCGCACCCTAGGCTTAAGAGCCCTTGGAGCGCTGGTTTAATTGTATTTGTGCTGGTAAGGATGGGTTTGCAACCTCCAGGGGTTGTGTGGTGCTTTGTGAGTGGGAGGGATCTTGGGAATCCTGGCGGAAAGTCACTTCAATATGAGCCAGCAAGTGTGCTGCAACTGCCAAAGAAGCCAATGCAATTCTAGGCTGCATTAATAGAGGGGTAGAATCAAGATGATGCAAAGGGTTAATACTACTTTATAAGGCCTTGATAAGGCCACACTTGGAATATTGCATCAAAGTTTGGTTTCTCTATAGATAGATAGATAGATAGATAGATAGATAGATAGATAGATATAGATAGATA